GAAGCACACTACATATTTTAACAATTTATTTTGCCAACTGTATTAAACACTGACTGGAAAAATGTGTATTTCTCCTACATGAAACATAACAGAAATTTAATAGGTTATTGAATGAGGAAAATAGATTAAAATAGAATATAATTTTTAGATGTAAAACTATTAATTTATTATAATTAGAATTTATTTACATTTAACATTTATTTTTTCTCTCTAATTCTTTACTTTTTGTTTCATTCTTGTTGGTTCTGTTTGACTAAAACATTTTTCTGACCCAATAAAAACAGTTCTGAATGTCTCCCCCCTCCCCCGCACGCACTTCCCCCTCGCGACGTGGCGCACATCAAATCAGATGTCTTTTAAAAAGAATAAATTTTGCATATTCTTTTTATCATATCTTCAGATCTACTTGGCCTAAAAACACGATTTAAAAACTGGTTTAAAGTTCGAAGTCTCTGCTTTTTACTCGAGAGTGAGAGAGGGCGTCTCTTTGCAGGCCGAGTTTTTTTCTTTCTTCCTAAACTTTATTTAGGTCAGCCAGCATTGACAACGCTCTGTGGGTGACGTAATCGGCTCCGCGACATGGCAAGGGACGCATAAATCCCGTGACACAACGAATCAATAATGAATTTCGTTGCCAACGCTTTTAATAATCGATTTTTATCGATTTTTATCGATTTTATCGATTCGTTGTTGCAGCCCTACTTTTAATGTGTTCTGGGTCTTGGGCAAAAGAGTATAACATTAAAACATGATATAAAACTCAAAAAAGTTGATTTTACATGGTATTGCCCCTTTAAATAAATTTACTTCAATGAAATGACTTCATGTGGTTCTGAAAACATTACAGTAATTATGTCTTCATAATATTGATTAAACCAAACAGAATACAATTCCACAAAAAGATCTCATTAAAAACAACTGAAATATCACATTTACAAAGTCATTCAGACATTTTGCAAGAACACATGAAATCTAAGTCAGGTTCCTTCCATTCCTCTGCATTTCTGCTGAAAGGCTCTTAGACTCCGGCTCAGTCTACCGGTGTTAAATTTAATTGATTGGACATTATTTGGAAAGGCACACACTTCTTTACAGAAGGGCTCATAGCTGACAATACATATTAGAGCAAAAATCAAACCATAATGTTAAAAGAGCCACCAACACCATCCCAAAAGTGAAGCACAGTAGTGGTAGCATCATGTAGAGATGTTTGTCAGCAGTAACTGTCCCTACAAAGCTCAGAAACAAGATTGTTACAAAATTCAGATCTGGACACTAGTCAATGTTATATCCTCAATAAAACCAGTTCCACAGAGCTCAGGACCTCAGACTGGGACACAGATTCACCTTCCAACATGATAATGACCCAAAGCACATGGGAAACACATCAGACTGACTTAGGACATCTTTAAGGGTCTTGGAATAAATCTCGACTTAAATCCTGTCAAACTTTTTGGGAGATACCTGAAATTAGCAATCCACCGGTAATCCCCATTCTCTTTTAAAGAACATGCTAAAAATCTTCTAATCCAGGTGTACAGTACTTGGTTTGTTGAGGCTATACCTGCTGATGGAGGTGTTTCAACTCAGTGCTAAGTAAGGACTCCGAATGCATAAACAATTAAACACCTTTATTTATCCTTATTCCATAACAATTGTACAAAAACAAAAATGCAACAAAAATCAATGAATACTAACAATCATGGTCAGTGGTTCAGCAGCAGTTCGTTCATGTCCTGCCCTCATTGTGGAGCCAGAGTACTGGATTATAATGTGTTTGTTGTGTTTTAATCCTCAACTCTCCATTAGCAGTGAGTTTACACACACACACTGTGTGAACACAGACACATGCACACACACTCTCTAATATCAAATTATATCAAACCATCATCAGGGATTAAAGGGGGCTGATGTTGGCAGATTTA